GTACAGTAGAGTACAGTACAGTACAGTCAACCTATAACACAGTCAGTTCATATATTATCAGAGGTGTAATTAGGACAATAATAATATACACCAAACTTCAGAAATAGTTGACACTCGTGGCTAAATTACTATAATGACGAACTTTTCTGACCGACTTATTACTAAGAAAAATGGTATACTGTGTAGCAAGAAGAAAGATCAAATATGAAAATGATGGCTAGTTATTATGTGAAAAAGTCCATTAGTTACTGCTTCGAGATGAGTTGTTTTGTTCCACTGTTCCAGTGTATCATACATCTGTAGTCTTATAAAACGGTAGATCAGCTTCCATGACGGTAACGCTTCGTAGACATTGAGCATTGCATTGTTTATCTTGGTCCGACACGAGATACGACCAAATGTGATGGTACTAAACAAGTTTTATTCTTAAAAAAAAGACAGTATTTTAACCGCGTGCTTAAGATAATGAAAGTGGGTCTCATGAGCCTGACGACCCGTTAGGTTAGGGGAACTGTTGATACAGCAGACAAAAGGATAAGCTTTCGGTACACAAGGAAGCATTGTAGACGGCACTGCTCTACCACCTTTCACTTCTCCGATGTAAAGTTAGGTGCCCTTCACCAACCGGATCGACTGGTGGAGCCCAAATATAAGATGGTGTTTTTCACCTACATTTAACCGGTCATAATGTGATGTTTTTAGATACCATTAATGTTGGATCTTTTGTATTGCTCTATTTGGGGGGCGGGGGGCGGGGGGGCGGCGAGGGGCGGGGGGGCGGTGGGGGCGGGGGGGTTAATATACAATTCGAACAAGGAAGCTCCAGCCAGTTTACTTTTGCCATTACAGTATCGTCAGAAGTCAGTATTACTCAAACTCGTGTATAAGAAACTGGCATATGTCAATGATAGTGTAGTTTAACTTGTATATTCCTGCCTTAATGTCAACTTTGATGTCACGGAGAGGAATTACCGCCATTCTCGATAATCCATCCCGTGACAAACCTTTCCTTACGCCCCTCTGAAATAGTTTGTCAACTTCCCGGGTTTGTGAAATTATGTACAGTATACTGAAGCCAGTGACGAGGAGACATTGTTGTTATGTTTTTTTGTTTTCAGTGTATCTGTCTCGGTAGATCTGTAAACTAGGCAACAATTAGTATAGATTAGGGAAAAGTTCTTCCTGAAGGAGACGTGAATGATGGGCCATCTCCTACCACGTCACTGAAAACGTGATGGATACTTAGTGAACACTCCTTGACGCCACAGACTGATGAGCGTGTCAGTGCCTCGTCGTCACTATCGAGTGTGAAACGCCGTCACACTTCCCCACACCTCTCAGTCATTTACGAACAAGGACAACACATTAGTGGCCCTTTTGATTACACTGGCTGGCAAGGCATAAAACACCTACTATTTACATATTACATAAACAAGATATATCACCATATGATTCCTATATACGGAAAATAATAACAAAAGTTGTGTCGTTACAACTTCTGATACGGTGCCAAGTTGAGTCAGTCAGGCGTGTACCAAGTCGATGAGATCGATTCTTTATACAGACGTGAACGATTTACCTACAGATGAGCAACATTATGCTGGAAGACACTCGATTTCTCAAAGTGACTGCTCCTTTAACAGCTTGACGTGTTGGTGGACGAGTTATTAATTTCCTGAAGGCTCATTATGTTATATATTAATCACAAGCCGAATGTAATAGCGTCGTTCTACTGACACTTATGAGTCTGTTTCTCCCAATAAAACGTCAAGTAACATTTTCATAACAAATTCGAGAATTCGTTTGTATTCGTATATCACAAAGTTCGTAAAACACAAAGTTAGACAATTTCACGCACCACTACGTTCGTGAAACACAACTGCAATTATCATTACGTTCGTGCATCACCTCATGTACTGGACCATTACGTTCATGCAACACCTCACATACTGTACCATTACGTTCGTGTAACATCTCACGTACCATTACATTCGTACAACATAACTCCACTTACCACTACGGTCCTTGAACATAGCTTCACTTACCACTACGGTCCTTGAACATAGCTTCACTTACCACTACGGTCCTTGAACATAGCTTCACTTACCACTACGGTCCTTGAACATGGCTTCACTTACCACTCCGGTCCTTGAACATAGCTTCACTTACCACTACGGTCCTTGAACATAGCTTCACTTACCACTACGGTCCTTGAACATAGCTTCACTTACCACTACGGTCCTTGAACATAGCTTCACTTACCACTACGGTCCTTGAACATAGCTTCACTTACCACTACGGTCCTTGAACATAGCTTCACTTACCACTACGGTCGTGCACTACAGAAAAAAAAGTGTTCGCCTCAGTACCAATGATACAATTACATTCCTGTAAAAGACCAGGTGGTGGCAGCGCTTCAAAAGGCCCAATAAGTCGTGATTCAGTCTCAGTCGCCCTCTACCCCACCTGATGATGCCACGAAGACCTTACCATTCACCAGCACTTGACAGCGGCCACCAAGACCTCCCACTCTACCACCAGACACACGACCAACTGGTATACTCTCAAATGCGCATCAAAATGTAAAACTTGTAAGTGGGTATTCTATGTTCCTATAATACGCTATTCATCAGCATCAATATTACACATTTGAAAATCATCTATTAGAGATAATGAATTACTGAACTAAAAACGATTCTACTTGTAAAATAACGTCACGTCTGTACTCTTGGACGTAAAACTGATGACATATGTTCAACCTCGTGTAGTTTCTCACCATTTTCTGTAATCAAAAACAAAAGCTAAGATTTGATATTCTTGTCTACCCGAAATGTTAACTTTTATTATTCATGAGGCTAGTGAATGATTATCAAACTACGTGAATAGAGTCAATACTATCTAATTATATAACTTATATGTATACTAATTATCACCTTAGAAAACAGCGAAGAAACCAGTAAAAACAAGAACCATTAATGCTTTAAAAATGAAGACAGATTTAAATGATTTCTCAAGACTTACAAAACCAACCTTAAACTTTCTTTGATTCTTGTGTTTTTAAAGAAATATACACGATTGGTTTCAGCTTCTCAAAGGCGATTAATAAGCTTTAGTAGTGACCACCGCGTGTGTTTGTTTCTCCTCCCCTGACCAACCACGTCATACCTTTGCGTGCCTGGCATTCTAATACAGCCACGTCATGTCATGCCCCGTGCCCCCCGGTCACAGCAACTCCTGAGATATTGTTTTTTGTCCATTTTTCTTTTGTTTTTGTTTGTTTTATCTTGTTTTTGTTCGCTTTTCTCTTCGTTTTCTGTTGTTTTTGTTCGTTTTCCTCGTCATTTTATTTGTTTTTCTCTTATTTTTCCTCGTTTTCTTATTTTTATTCGCCTTTCTCTTGTTTTTGTTCGACTTTCCCAAATAAGTTCTAACTGATTGGAAGGTAAATAATATTAAAATAAAAAAAACAAATATTGCGAAATCCTTTAATGTTACAGATTTCACCCTGAGACTCTATCCCAGCCATTATTTATGTGACAGCTCTTTCAGTGAGGTACACAGAGCAGTGAGTTGAACACAAATCTACTGTAATGATTCAGGATGTCTGTCTTTAAATGTTCGTGCTTCAACTATTAGCATTACTTGTATCTTTTTATATTTATATCCCTTCGTTCGTCTGGTTCTTTCAGTATCGAGGGTCTTAGGTACCTCGGTCACACACACACACACACTTATCACGTGATTAACTTCGGAAAACAAGTACTGTAGGTATGTGTCTAGAGAGTAGTCACAGGTAACAGCGGCCCACATCTGGTATGGCTCGCATCTTGTGGTGCTAACAGGTGAGAGGAATACTAGAACAGGTACAGCGTGTTGTGACGACTCGGGTGGTGATGACATAATGTTGGTTATATGTGTAGGTAAAGTTTGTTTCTTATGTCGTTCTTATAATCTGTTAAGGACCTGATGTTGATATAAGCAGAACAGTGGACAGGTGCAAGGCGTCAGCTATCAGGTAGTCGTAAGAAGTTCACCCTTAAGCTCTATCAATGAGACATAAATAATATAATTCATCAACGTCTGGTTAATAGTTGTTGTAATTCTAGAGGATTCAGCCGCTGGAGTTTGTTGTTCGATAGTCCTCTTGGCTTCAAAACCAAAAGGAACTGACCAGCGAATCGACGGCGTCAATATTGACTTATAGAGTAACAGGAGACATTGTAAAAATAGAGCAAGAGGAAATTTTATAAACTATGGTCATTTGTAGAAACTTTATCCGTAACTATACTCAATATTTGGTTCGCAGGGTAACAACTCAATTAAGCAGTCGGAAAATATAGCTACGAGCATCTGAACTATAGTTTGGGGGGGGGGGGTGGATATTATAGTCTGTTAAACTATCTATTCGTGGGACTTGTTTTTCTACCTATAACTGCCAGAATACATTTATTTCTACTAGAAGGAATAATTTAGTCAAGGCAACCCAAGGCGTCGTTGATAGCGCTGTTATATACCTTTTGTCTGTGTAGCAGCGGCGGCTTCAAGGCTTCGTTCCCAAAACATAACTCTAAGGAATTAACTAACGGCATGACCAGTGTTGATTTTATAATGCCTTCTAGCGCTACAACAACTAAGGTCTTTAAGCGAATGTACGATGATGACGATTTAGTGATCACAGGAAGAACTAACTACCCAGATTAATACTTGATCTCACCTTGAATAACATCACGACAGTTTCACCCCAAAGAAAAGAAAATATCAGGACTGTATTATAGACTTGGCACCAAACTGCACATCGCAAATAGATTAAATTGTATTAATCACGATTTATGTTGTATTTTTAAATGAACTTAGTCTTAGTAACGTAAAAGTTTATTTATAATTTGTACGTTTTTGTGAATTTTCATATAAACAGATATCAATTACACATGAAATTTTGAGAATCTTGTCATAAATTTGTCACATAAATAAATCCCAATAAATTCTTTCATATTCCACAGTCCTTCGGTAACCACGAGTTCGATGACGGTATCAGTGGCGTGGTGCCCTTCCTGGAGAACGTAACATTCCCCGTCCTAGCAGCTAACATTGAGGACTCCCAAGAACCAACCATCCAGGAGAAATACGCGAAATCCGCAGTCTTCACCCGAGGAGGACGCAAAATCGGTGTTATTGGTTACGTCACTACAGAAACCATGGTGAGTGGTGTGTGTGTTTAGGAGTATTATTTTTTGGTATTAATTTATCTTTACAATTTCCCCATTATCCTGGTTTTACGTTCCTAAATTTCCCCATTAGCCTTTTTCTATGTTTACAGTTTCCCCATTATCAGTTTTTCTACGTTTATAATTTCCCCCTTTATCCTCGTATGTGTTTACGATTTGCCCATTTAATCTTCTCCATGTTTACAATTTTCCCAATTATCCTCGTCTATAGCAACAGCTTCTCCACTTAGTTACATCTCTTCGTGTTGGAATATTCATAACATAATTCCTCTTTGACGTATTGCCTCTTATACTAGGGAAGGCCAAGTCTGCAGTCTTCACCCGTCTCTCTGCAAGACTCGTCGTCTGAATTCATCTCATTTAGTATTCATTGCAAAACAAAACCTTAAGAGATGAGAGATAGAGAGAAAGAGTGAAGAGAGCAGACCTGTACTGTCTGTGTACAATGTTTACCGTCACTGTATAGGCCCAAGCCCCAATAGTCTACGTTCCATCCTCCGAGTTCGCTGGGAAGACAAGAGAACACATGCCAGTATTCTCGCTGACACCAACTGTAGGAGCATCGAGGCTACCATTACCCATGAACAACTACGTTGGACTGGCCATGTTACCCGTATGGACGACAGTAGACTGACAAAGCAGCTACTTTACAGTCACCTGACGAATAATAAACGTAACGCCGTCTCCCCCACCTGGGAGACGATTCCTCCACATCGTAACGCTTGGAGGATCACTACACGAGAAGGTTTCAATACTCCAGAGTTAGCCCGACTGCAAACCGAGGCAGACAAGCGCCAACGCCGGAAAGACGCTGCCACCGCCCCTCCCGCACTCGATGTAGCCCTCCACGTGTGCAACTCATGTGAACGATCCTGTCGGTCCGGTATCGGCCTCTTTAGTCACCTCAAAACTCACCAACGAAGGTGACATCCCTGACAAGTCATATCATTGTATCATAGCTGGATGATCGTCATACTCGATTCCGAGTGACAGCAAAGTAGTAGTAGTAGTAGTAGTAGTAGTATGCCCAATATACCTACACTGTCTATGAACATTGTAAACTTATACTGGGTATGTACTGTACACTCCCTCCAACAGGTATCTTAAACGAGTGTGAGTGGAACAATGACACAACGGACGAAAGAGTTTGACAACCCCCCGCCGTGAAGACACCTTCGGAGCGAATGTTCTGCAGAATCAATGTGTATAACGATATTACTAAATAAATATATACCTATCTATCCAAGGCGGAAGAGTTAGAGAGAAAAAAAAACTAGAAATTGGCAATAGCAAGAAACTCCCCAGCGTTCATGAGTGCATATGATACCTTGCGGCAGTTGGGAATACCAGAAGAAAATTCACTATGTTCGTTATTGAGAAGCATCCGTAAAGTGCTAATATAATTTATAAGTAACAGCTATTTTAATAACCTTGATATATACGCGAGTCAATAACCTCGATATATATAATTAAAACGTATTAAACAAAAGCTTCCTAGTGTTGAGAAACGGAAATAACATCGGTGAAATTAACCTTGATAATTAACGTAACTACGAAACACACATTGAAGTATATATTTTTTTTCTCTTAATATTATGATCAAAATTTTCCGGTTTGTATATGGAATTAACAGGGATTTCCCCCCAGACTCTCTCGCCAGGCCACCAACTTGTGTGACCGGTTTTCACGTTCGTAATAGGTTCTACTTTTTTCACATCATTCGTTCCATTTTTTTTTTATTATCTCCCGGAGTACTGAGGTTAATATAGTACAGTACAGGTATTCCTATTTCATGTCAGTCTGTATGTTAACTATTTCCATTGTTATTTTCAGGTGTAATTTAATATATTATTATTTTTATTAATAATTTACTTATGTCTGTTAGAGGATTAAATATTATCATTATTCATTTCCCGTATAATTTAATAATTTTTTTTTAACTTTTTCTTATACCACACACACACACACACACACACACACACACACACACACACACACACACACACACACACGAAGAAAACTGTAAACAACAATTATATTTTTGGATAAAATAAGTCAAAGCACAGTAGAGAAAATCACATATAATAAACCAGATGTTAATAGAGGCGAGACGATGAATATACCGATTCATCTATCAAGGCTGTTGTGTGTGTGTGTGTGTGTGTCTGTGTGTGTGTGTGTGTGTGTGTGTGCCCTACATCTACCACCACCACTACCTGAAAATCATTACCCATGTGTTGAACACCTTGGAAGCAGACATGTGTTTTGAAGGACCCACTTGTCCACTGTCAGCCGTGTGTGTGTGTATAAACAGCCACCATAAGGCCACACCCGTCTGCCTCGACACACTATGACCATCAGGTTACGTTTGAAGGTTTTTATCTCGTGTCGTGACGGCCTTGCTTATCACTGCCTCACCTTTGCCCACCTTCTCCTACCTATTTCGATTTCATTCCTCTATTCTTCATTTGGTTTTCTATCCTATCGTCTCCTATTCGTTATCCATACATTCTCTTATTTACTGCCTCTTCTCTTTTCATCTAGCCTTCCTATTCTTCTTCGTTATTGGTGCTATCGCCTCTCCATTCATCCATTTACTTCATTCTTCTTATCGGCGTCTCTTTCTTTGAGTATGAGTGTGTGTGGGTTTTCGAGTGTGAGGAAAATCTTCGAGTGTGAGGAGGGTCTTGAGTATGAGGAGGGTCTAGAGTGTGAGTTCGCATCATTACTTCTCAGTCGATTTCTTAATTATAAGGTAAATGGTCAAATAATTAATAAATGATAGGAGAGAGAGTGTGGTTATAACTGGTACATTAAAACCTCCATCTAACGAACTACATAGAGATGAAAGTACGTTATATCGAGGGTCCGCTAGATGTGACACCTCCATCTAACGAACTACATAGAGATGAAAGTCCGTTATATCGAGGGTCCGCTAGATGTGAAACCGCCATATAACGAACTACATAGAGATGAAAGTCCGTTATATCGAGGGTCCGCTAGATGTGAAACCTCCATCTAACGAACTACATAGAGATGAAAGTCCGTTATATCGAGGGTCCGCTAGATGTGAAACCTCCATCTAACGAACTACATAGAGATGAAAGTCCGTTATATCGAGGGTCCGCTAGATGTGAAACCTCCACCTAACGAACTACACAGAGATGAAAGTCCGTTATATCGAGGGTCCGCTAGATGTGAAACCTCCATCTAACGAACTACATAGAGATGAAAGTCCGTTATATCGAGGGTCTGTAGATGTAAACCTCCATTAACGAATTATATGAGATGAAAGTACGTTATATCGGAGGTTTCACTGTTGTTCACCTATGATGGTTCAAGGTGTGTGTGTGTGTGTGTGTGTGTGTGTTACCTGTCGACGCTGCCTTCATGAGACAAAATATTCCAGCGGTTCAATTAATTCATTTACTTCTTGCCATGCCATCTTTCATGCCATTTACTTGGTTGCCATCTTTCCCATGCCATTTACTTTGCTGCTTCTTTGCTTGCCATCTTTCCATGCCATTTACTTTTGGTTGCCATCTTCCCATGTCATTACTTCTTGGTTGCCATCTTTCCCATGCCATCACTCTTGGCCATCTTTCCCATGTCCTTGTGCCATCTTCCCATGCCATTTACTTGGTTGCCATCTTGCCATTTACCCATCTTTCCCATGCCATTTACTTATTGCCATCTTTCCCATGTCATTTACTTCTTGGTTGCCATCTTTCCCATGTCATTTACTTCTTGGTTGCCATCTTTCCCATGTCATTTACTTCTTGGTTGCCATCTTTCCCATGTCATTTACTTCTTGGTTGCCATCTTTCCCATGTCATTTACTTCTTGGTTGCCATCTTTCCCATGTCATTTACTTCTTGGTTGCCATCTTTCCCATGTCATTTACTTCTTGGTTGCCATCTTTCCCATGTCATTTACTTCTTGGTTGCCATCTTTCCCATGTCATTTACTTCTTGTTGCCATCTTCCATGCCATTTGTCCATCTTCCCCATGTCATTTACTTCTTGGTTGCCATCTTTCCCATGTCAAATACTTCTTGGTTGCCATCTTTCCCATGCCATTTACTTCTTGGTTGCCATCTTTCCCATGCCATTTACTTCTTGGTTGCCATCTTTCCCATGTCATTTACTTCTTGGTTGCCATCTTTCCCATGTCAAAACCAGAGGCAAGGTTCCACCGATTCCCACTCTGTTATTTCCTCTCCCACACTTCCCCCTTTTCCTGTTAATTTCCCCCATATTTCGCCAAATTTACGTTCGTGATTTTTAACCTTAATCTCTGTGAGTGTGCCTCCTACCCCTCCGATAAACTAACCTTATGTTAACTTTATTTAATAAGTACCACGTGATAATTAACCACCTTATCTCCCTATAGGCAGCAATAGGATAGGTTAGGTTAGGTTAGGTTAGGTTAGGTTAGGTTAGGTGAAATATGCTGGAGGGCTAATCTTCACATGATCCTGATAAACCACACAGTACAGGAATTCCTAAACAAAACCTTTACCTAAGAAACTCAATTACGCGTTGCTCACCACCAGATAATCTCTGCACCTGGGAAGCTCAACATCACGGACGAGGCAACGGCTGTGAGGAAGGAGGCTAGGAGACTGAGGAGTGAGGAGGGCGTGGAGATCATCATTGCTCTGGGCCACTCCGGCTTTACGAAGGACATGGAGATCGCTAAGGCGGTGGCGGAGGTCGATGTTGTGGTGGGAGGACATACCAATACCTTCCTTTATACTGGTGAGTGGAAGAGGAAGACGAGGGGGGGGAGGTGATGGGGAGGAAGAGAAAGTCCTCAAGTACCCCTGATTCAATGTAGTAATTATAAAGTTCATGATACAATAAGCCAGGTGGCCTGAAGCCTTTGACAGTGTCACATTCAATAATATAGTGTTCAAGTGAATGCTTTGAAGGTTTATCACTAACATAAAAAGTATATTAAACAATGGTTTCACACGTGCTGATAGCTTCCACAAAGTTTACATTAATATCAGTCTAATATCATAATCCAACAATATGCTCTCTCTCTACTTTACAAATATGCTTCACAAATAGATTGCAATATCTTATGACTACCAGAAAACGCTGGATTACCCTTACAACCTGTGCGTTTTTCACGATACAATATACCATGTCCTTCACGGTGAAGGACATGGTATATTGTATCGTGAAAAAACCCACACCAATAATACCCAGAGAGAGAGAGAGGGGGGGGGGGTTGTAATCGGGAGAGGCAGTCATAATCCGGGGTTTCAAAGATTCACACAGTAATATTCTCCCCTATAACACCTTCAATATCTCGCTTGAACATGTAACATCAAAACAAAGGCTGAAAATTTGTGTGCATACATTATGCCTCGACTCACGGAACTAAACAGGACCTCAGGGATTCGGGCGCCAGTGAGCGTGAATAAAAGGTTTGATTATTACCAATTACATCCAACGTACTGTAGGGAGATACATAAATTCAACAGTGTGTGCTTATATGTTTATCCGTGCGTGTATTCGTGTCTGTATCCGTGCGTGTATTCGTGTGTGTTCGTGTCTATATTCGGGTGTACGTTCGTGTCTGGGAGATAAAAAAAATGTCTTCTCAACTTCTCTAAAAATATCTGGTAAGGATTCTAATGTACTCTTGTCGGTGATGGATTCCAATCAATTATATTACGTAAGATACATCACAACAAAATCTGGGGAAAAATTACTATTTACTATTACTGTTTTCTGGTCATCAAACGAGTTAAGGAGTTGTGGATTCTGTTGCGTCTTTAACAAACTCCTACGCCTGATAATTAATACAAGCGACTACGACACTCAGTTCGGACACTCAATGACTTTTATCATACTAAAAATTAATCTATCTTTTCATATTCTTGGTGACTGATGTAATACTAACTTAAAAATACAAACTAAAAAAGATCTGAGTTATTTAAAGCTTAGTAATACATTATAATATTAACATTAACTCATATAGTAATGTTTGTTCCCTAAATGACGTTATGAGACAGCATCCATCCAGGGCCGATATAGTCTCAGGGCATCGTCGAGGGCATCTAACCCTACACAATAGACTACCATGGCTTGAGTAAGAGAGTGAGAGGCGTTGTCACAGCCCCTGTTCGTGAGGAAACAGAAAACAAATTGATAACCGATTCTAGGTGTCCCAGGTGCTCCGGCCCAACTTAATGAACACACATGCCTCTGACAATTTAAAGATCACTGTGACACCTTAACAATGTCCATGAAAATTTGAAATTGACCATTAAAAGTGACTAGGATGCTAATTATTAGTTTCTGTGACAGTGCCTATGCCAATTCGAGAGGAAAGCCCCAGGAATTTAATTTAAGTTTGAATACTTTTGTTCTACCGAATTTGAAGTTATAATGAAGGATCTGGTCTTAATGTGTGTCATTCATGGTGTTTAGGTCAATTTTATCGTAGTGAATGGGATGATTTGGTTGTTTATCGCGGGGACAAGGTCAAAGTACTTTCGCTTTGTCTCGTATGGAACAAAATGTTAAATGCCACGTACTCAGGAAGAATGAGTCACTGTGGGACTCATTATTACACCAATTAAGGGTTGAAGGACGGTATGTATGTACCCCTGTTGATGGTATGATAATGTATTACTGGTTTTTAAATACTAAGGTTTATAAGCGTTTTCTAGGTCAGTAAATACCCAAGTCATCAGCAAGTAAACACTATGACACACAACACGCCATGACTTTACACTGGCTGGTCTCAAGTGTAGTACGAATCATGAAAATACACGTCTCTGTTTCTTGACCTTTGAGTCTATCCTGGTGCCGCCTGAGGGTTGGTGATCATGGCCCACAACTGTAAGGGTTTTTATGCTGTTTCTCAATCCTCCCAGACTCTGTATCTCCTGTTTACCGTTAACATACAGAAATACAGTACAGTTTTTGTCATCGTATTTGCACGCTGACCCACCCATATCAAAGAAAACTTTTAATTGTATAATTGCCCCATTTACTTTAACAACTTCTTCATACTTAACAGTACGTGAAGCTATTAAGTTACACTGGCTTAAAAAAAACGGCTTTCTATCCGTGTATCTACAAAGTGTACAACTATAGCTTACAGGTTTGTACAAAAGTAGTGATTGCAAATTTGTGTCTCGTGAGAGTTCATAACATTACTTTGTATATCAATTACAGATAATAATCATAATAATAATAATTGAGTAAAATCACCACACACAACATTAATATCCATCGATAATCTTAAATATTTTAAGAATGAAAAATTTACTTAAGGAAGACCATAGAAAAGTAATTAATTTCTTAGCATCCTCCCCACACGAAAGAAAATAGTCACCACCAGAAAAAACGGAAACGTGTGCTTGTTTTTACAGGGGTAACTAATCTACGAAATTTTTTTCTTTTCGTGTGAGAAATTGTTGTGATGGGATTTTGTGCTGGGTCTAATTCCTCCTGTGTATATATTCTTTACAAGTTATAATGGTAAATAAATGTTGTTAGTTTAATTTAGGTTAAGTTTGGAGATATTCCTGTCAACTTAACAAACTCAAAATGTATTTAAGGTGACTAAATTGTAGTTTGATTTATTTAGGTTGAATTCTGTAACTCAACCATTTCAAAAACCCGGTCTCTGCCCCACAACCATAACTCATAAACCCATTCTCTGCCCCACAACCATAACTCATAAACCCATTCTCTGGCCCACACCCATAACTCAAAAACCCATTCTCTGGCCCACACCCATAACTCATAAACCCATTCTCTGGCCCACACCCATAACTCATAAACCCATTCTCTGGCCCACACCCATAACTCATAAACCCATTCTCTTTGTAACTCCTGCAGGTGAAAATCCCTCGACGGAGCCCAAGATGGGGGACTACCCGACCATAGTGAAGCAGAGGTCAGGAAAACAGGTGCCGGTGGTCCAGGCTTATGCATTCGGCAAGTACCTCGGCAAACTGATCCTCACCTTCAATGATGCAGGCGACGTGACGCACTGGGATGGCAACCCTATCTTACTGGACAACACTATAGACGAAGGTGAGGTTTTTTTTTTTTTTACGGGGAATAACCCACCCGGGCACAGGTCATCAACCCACAACGGGGCCTCGGGGGCGAAAAAATAAGAATAGAAATAAATTAAAAATAGAAAAGAAAAAGATCATATTAATCTGCACCACGAAGCTGCCGGAAAATCAGCTTTTTGAAGTGAGACAGATTGTATGAGCATGGAAACACAGAAGAAGGCAGAGCATTCCACAGTTTGGCTGTGTGAGGAAAGAAGGATGTACTATAACGGGTTATTCTACTGTGACCAACATCCACAGAGAAACGGTGGGCACCGCGGGCAAGACGAGCCCACGGCCTTGCCGGCGGTACACAGGATGCCAAATCCATCAAACATTGCCCGTTAAAAGTACCTGTAAAAGAGAGAGAGAGAGTGAAGCAATAGTGTGGCGAAGAGAAAGGGACGAAAGATTATCAACTAAAGGGGGAGAGTTAATAAGACGAAATGCCTTTGATTCCACCCTATCTAATAGTTGGACAGAAGAAGAGCCACCCCAGATATGAGAGCAGTACTCCAAGTTAAGACGAATGAATCCCTTATATACTTAAAGCAATTGCTCGGGAGTGAAGTAGCTATGGCATCTGTACAGCATTCCCAGCTTTCGGGAGGCAGATTAGCAATGTTGAGGATGTGTGGCTTCCATGACATATTCGAGGAAATGGTGAGGCCTAGCATATCTATTTTAGAATTTGGCAGAATGATTACGTCCTGAAATGTGTTTGGTGGGAGATCATCTAATTTGGAAAGTGTAATTGGTAAATACTGTGTTTTATTACTACTGAATTTAACCAAGTTTCTGCCTCCCCATTCGGAGATACTGCACATATCCGCACTGATAGATTTAATGATATCAGCTCTAGAAACAGATCTAGTTTGAGAATTAGGGGGAAGGGGAAAAGTGAAGAAGAGTGTAGAGCAGAATCATCAGCGTAAGAATGGATAGAATTAGTGTGAAATAAATCATTGATAAAAAGAAGGAAGAGAGTGGGTGAAAGAACAGAACCCTGTGGGACGCCACTATTGGTAGAGAAACAGCGAGAGATCGATCCCTCGACAACAACTGGCTTGGATCGGTTCTCAAGGAAGCTAGAAATTAGAGAACAAAGTGGGGGAGAGAAACCATAAGAGGAAAGTTTAGAAAGCAAAGACTTGTGCCATACCCTGTCAAATGCTTTGGAGATGTCGAGGGCCACGACAAAAGTTTCCCCATAACCCCTAAGAGAGGATGACCAAAGATGGGTGCAATAGGAGAGCAGATCACCAGTAGATCTTGCCTGGCGAAAGCCATACTGGTGATCCGACAAAAGAGAAAGGCGTTCAAGGTGACGGAGAAAATGGGAGTTCAAGATAGTTTCGAAAATCTTAGAGAGGGATGAAGTTAGGGCAATGGGGCGATAGTTAGAGGGGTTAGAATGGTCACCCTTCTTCGGGATGGGCTGAACCAAGGCATGCTTCCAAGAAGAAGGAAAAGTTTTGGTTTTGAGGCAAAGGCGAAAGAGGCGAGCAAGCACAGGGGCCAGGGCTTCAGCACACTCCCTCAGAACACGAGGGGCATTCCGTCCGGTCCATGCGCCTTCCTCAAATCCAACCTGGATAACACACCAGCAACCCTACGAGTGAAGATTATAGGAAAGTGCATAGGTTCAGTAGGAGGAGTAAGAGGGACTTTATATATTGTATAGGAGTGATTAAATGGGGTAGGTAGAGATAGGTACAGGTGACTAAAGAGATGGAGACAGTTTATTTAGATATTAATAAGGAGGTGGAGTAACACGGAGACAGATAGGCGAGAGAGAGAGCGAGAGAGGACGGCAAACGATGAGTCACTACAGCTGCCCACCCCTACTCATCACAATGGAAGTGAGAGAGAGAGACAGGCGATTGTGGAGGCGCCTCGCTTCACTTATTCAATCACTGAGGTAAAAATTGTTATTCAGAATGAGGGGCAATCGACATCGTGGATCTCAACGCAAATCTGATAATGTCTAAATCATCTGAAATGAGTCAAATACTGAGTAAGAATGTTGAGTAAACATTAATAAGTATGTGTATGTATTTCGTAAACTTTGTAATAATTTAATATATTTTCTTCTAAATTCATATCAGTACATTATATAAACATAACTAATATATTTTATAAAATGTGTCAAAAATTTGAACGTGCATACAGGGTATATATTCTGTTTCATGAAGGCAGTATTACCAAAATATACTCCTCTCACTTCAGCATTCGTTACACAGAATTTGATCATTTTCTCAAAACTGGGCTGGCAACATTTGTCTAAAAAAAAATAAAAAAAAAACCCGCCGGGAAATATCAAAACTCTTGGTGAGCTATTTATTCCTTATCGAGTATAGTTTGAAAGATAAAACTTATATAGATAACTGAGATACACCCCCCCCCCCCCAAAATGAAAGCGTTAGTCTGATTACTTGATAAATATTGCAAGAAAGATATGATTTCCTTATACAAAGCTACATTTTTATTTCATCCAGTTATTAAGTGAGAAAAAAATTCTACTGCTAAGTTTAATAAATGAATGACAGACGAAGAGAAGATGAAGAAACGATGAAGTGAAAAACAAATAAAATAAATCATTAAACGAAAAGTAATTACCACACTTACTACGGTTAAGGTGTAAAGCAGTGACGTAGTACTTACTGTAAGAGGGTAGCGGAGTGTCTTAATACAATATAAATAGTGTACAGCGTGTGGGATAGTTATTATTAGTTATCATTATAAAGTTACTACTATTGTTGCTATTATTATTATTATTATTATTATTACCTACGTTACTATTATTAAAATTCAAGACTACATTGTCGTTAACTTCTATTAGACCTGCCATGGGGGAATAAATAGCCTTACATAATGATTTGGTACAGTGATCAGTTTACACCGTACCAGGATGAGTGGGCGTAGAGACCCTTGTTACAGGATACACCAGGCCGCCCACCAGCTGCGATAATACCAAACATTCAGTGCCTTACTCCTCTCTAAAACAGGTTTTCTCAATACGTTTATGTTGAGGAAATGATATCGGTCGAGTAGTTAAATTTGAAGAACTTACATATGACCATAACAAAAGACTTTTATTTTACTTTAAGAGTCCTGTTTTAAATAATAGTTCTTTAGTCTTGGTAGAAAGTACGGATAGAAAGCTTCATTCCCTTCATAACTTTCTTTCATATTCAGTGAAAAATTAATATTGCTAAGTTTAGTAAATGAATGACAGACGAAAGTAAGATATATATATACAATGAAATTAAAAAAATATATATATAATAAAAAATATACTTAAACGAAAAGTAAATAAACTTATTGGTGGCCTCTGAGTTCAGTAGGAGAGCAGGACTGATACTTGACAGTGTGTAGTGAGAACTGACCCACCTACTGTTACCTCACGGCTCCGGCAACTTTATATCTCAATACTGTACGTTGTTTGTTGTAACGGCAATGATGTACGCGGGTCTGTCCATTATCAACAGACGTAGATGGAAATATATGAGGCTATAGTTACTAAAAAAAATAGCTATTATGTTGAAATATAGTTCAGTTAAGTGACTAAACTGTGTTATTAACTATGGCCAAACGTTTCTGTCAAGGACATTACCCTCACTACGTCCACCCCCACCCCCCCTTGTGTTAACTGTAATTTCTCTTATACCACTTTATTGTTTATTGGTCTACTATTTCAATCAAGATTGTCATTATTTTGTCTGTGTAGAAGATTTTATCCAATAAGTAATAACAGAAGTACTTATCATTTATCAACGCTTAAATGTTAATGAAAGCGAGAAAATAAGTAAAAAAAAATGGTCTCCGGCAGCGGATAAACTTATAAAACTCCCAACGAGCATTAGAGAAAACGGGAATCGGGTTGACGAAACGTAGCCGACAGTATAATAAATTTCGTCGTATTAATTCAATATATTCTTAAAACGGTAAGTTACACAATGATCATATAACAATCACAGGTTAAAAACATATTTATGTAACGTATGATGAGTTAAGGGGTTATATTAGGATTCAAAGTTAACAAAATAATATCTTTTCGAACGCATGGGTGTAAACGTCAGAAATCAGTCATACCAACTTCGAGTCCCAGAAATTTCATAATGTATAGAAATTCTGGTGTGTTGGGGAAGATGTATACCTCCGTAATACATGTTTCTTTTTGTATACATGTATAAGTTGCCATGGCATAATTTCTAGGATCTCACACTTCACACATTTCACACACACAGTATTCATGCTAACTTGGTACTCGGATAAGACTCATTAAACAATTTAGAAATATGTAAGTTATAGAGTGCGTTGTAAATTGATACGGTATTATGAAAATGACTTGAAACTTAAATCTTTATTCACAGAGAACAACACGAGTACAGTGACCTCACACCTAGATATATAAACTTGAAAGAGGTAACTTGACCCACATATAAGTTCACATAATTACAAAACTGTATCATCTTACACCCGTTTAACCCGTCGCTCCACCCTTTCCAACTGTTTCCAATGTGTCTAAAATAAAATCCAGCACAGGATTAGAATTTGCTGCCAGGTTAAGTTAAATAATGTCAGTGATAGGTTAGGAATAGCTAGGATTAGAAGTTAATTAAGCTATTGCAGGTAGCACGGTTATAACTCGTTAAGGAAAACCCAGGTTAATTGGTTAAGTTGGGTTGGGTTAGATTAAGTTAGGTTCTGGGTCCGGCAGTTTGTGAGGATCCAACATTTTACTTTACCTCTGACATGACGCCCCCGGGGTCAGGGGACGGTCCAGTGTGTGAAGTAATAAATAAAAGATGATGGAAGTCGTTAACCACAAGAAAATTCACGTTCATACTGAGTAACATTTTCTCTCACGATTTTATTTTCCTTTGACCTATTTTGTAACCATTTTCTTACACGTTTAGGTGTGGTGAAAGTCACGGCTGGTTTAATGTGGGTACCAGTTACGTATATTGT